GTGTACGCTTTGCTCGCTCACACGCGGTCCGCAGACGGCGCACAGCTCGCTTATTCTCCAACACGTCCTTCTTGTACTTGCGTTTGAATTCGGCTGCAAAATGATTCACCAGTCGAGAATCAAAGTCCTCACCGCCCAGATGTGTGTCACCGGCAGTCGACTTCACCTCAAAGATGCCATCCTCGATGGACAGGATGGAGACATCGAAGGTTCCGCCACCCAGGTCAAATATCAACACATTGCGTTCAGCTCCAACCTTCTTGTCCAGACCGTATGCAATGGCCGCAGCAGTCGGCTCGTTGATGATACGAAGAACGTTCAGGCCCGAGATCGTGCCAGCATCCTTAGTGGCCTGACGCTGACCATCATTGAAGTAGGCCGGAACCGTGACCACTGCATCCGTCACCGGATGACCCAGGTATGCTTCAGCCGTCTCCTTCATTTTCAACAGTACCATAGATGAAATCTCTTCGGGAAAGAAGGTCTTCGTCTCACCTTTGAATTCCACCTGAATCTTCGGCTTTCCACCCGCACTTATTACATGGAATGGCCAATGTTTCATATCGTTCTGTACAGTCGGATCATCAAACTTGCGGCCAATCAGGCGCTTGGCATCAAACACACTGTTGGTGGGATTCATGGCCACCTGATTCTTCGCGGCGTCGCCGATCAGACGCTCGGTGTCCGTGAAGGCCACATAGCTGGGCGTTGTGCGGTTACCCTGGTCGTTGGCGATGATCTCCACCTTGCCATGCTGAAACACACCAACACAGGAGTACGTGGTGCCCAAGTCGATGCCAATGGCTGGTCCTTTACTCATGATGATAGCTGAACAGACGAACGCGAACCAAGCAAAGAGACGTTGAATGTGGCGTGGGGCGTGTGGGGTCAGACTTTATAGTTTGGCCGCGTGCAGCCCCTTCAGGCCTTCTAGAATGTTCGCTAACCAATAGCAAGAAGGCAGTGCGTGGTTTCGACCAATTAGCGTCGTGGTGGCAGGCCTACCCAGCCCTCACAGCCCCGAGCAATCTAGAAGTTGGCAGAAGGTAAGAGCATTCTAGAATGTTCGCTGGCCAATGGCAGGTAGGGCGCATGAACTTTGTTTACTGTCTTCTGGCCAATTAGCATCATGGTAATGAAGACGACCCAGCAGGTCAACCGCTCAGGTCGCCATGGCTAGGCGCAATCAGCAAGGGACGATATTTCTTGCGAGCACTTTCATTGCCGCCTTCTATTCAGTCTTTTCGTTCAAAGTGTTCGCCATTAGAATTTATTGGTGTCGGTTCGCTAGGGATAAGGTGTGTCTGGAGATCTGCCATCTGGCAGAATGAGAGGGGTGTAATTCTGCACTGACGGTTCAGTCAGTAGATCTGTCTACCCATAATCAGGGACTGTATTGTCCTTTACACTGGTCGCACCAGAAGACGTCCGGGTTGTAGACTTTGTTCGTTTCTAATAGCTTGATGTGTGACCGCTGTCTAATATGATTAACGTGTCACTGGCGGTACACGGTGGAGTTGGAAGGCGACTCGAGCGCGTGAACAAGAATTTTACTCACCTGACATTTCCACAAGCACCAGAGGCAGTATCAGTATTCTAATAATAACATAAAGACAATGCATACTATTGGAATAGACGTAAACAAGGAAAGGATGTGTGAAGCAGTGACATTCCTGTTTTCGTGTAGACTCAAGCAGCGTATTCAATGGCAGCGGGATTTACTCCAGGCAAACAACCGCCCATTCCGAACCTCTAAGATTGCAGGTTCTCTGGAAAACTATTCCACAGAGTATGCTGACATAGTTGCAAACAAATTTAAGCTATTTTTCATAAATACTTGAAATGATAGTATACCCAGGCCTATTGTTTGCTCGACTTCACTGGACTCAGTTAACTCTTGGATGTAGACGGATGCCTTGCGAGTACTGCCAGTGAATATTTTTGCAAGGCACTATCGAGTGTTTGTTTCGTCGTGCCTTTTCTTCTTCGCATTTAACCACGCATATTTTTCAACTAGTGTGTGTAACAGGGTTGCTGATATGGAATGGATATCTTTGATTCAGTCAGGATGAAGTGATTCTTTGTCTATGTTGGTTTGATTTCGGACAGATGTGGTAATGCAGTCCCACCTGAATTAAACAAACCCCATGCACCTATCATACGGCACCGGTGGTTATATGGGTTTTTTACAAATGGCACAGGGGAACGCACAGGGGACGATGTCAATTAATTGTGTCCAAAAGAAAGGCTGTTGAGAATTCGCAGTTGTCCTTTGAGTGGTTGGGAAATAGTTGCCCTAGCCCTAATCCCTAACTATAATCCCGTAACTCGAACGCCGTTACACTAACCCTTAACCCTAACGCCAGCAGTAGTGTGTCCATCAGGTGGATTATCGGAAACTGATTTACCGAAGAGTTCCATTTTCGGAGCATTTGAAACTTTCGTCATTCCAACCTTACTTCTTCAATTAGTCTTCAGCGGGTCTCTACCGTAAGATGGGTATTTTACACGCAGAACATCTGTTCTACACTTTTGTAGGTGCTTACCACGGGGTTCATTCCACACCCACATAAGAGGAAATTGTTTTGTGATGTACTTGGAGACCTGGCAAGACATTGGCATATAACGTCACCAAAATCAATGAGCCACATCTTTAGGTCAGAAGGGAGTCGTCTGTTCTCTCTCCTTTAGTCCAGACGGATTGTTGAGCCTCGCCATCATGTTGTTTTGACTACGCCCAAAAGGGTATGGAAGAATTGTTAGAATGAGAGATTGCCTGACCTAGACGTGGGCCATGGCTGGCTGTCGGTAGCATTATCCAAGAGTCTCTTTTTGTCCGTCTCCACTGGGACATGCAGGCGATGTGATCTGGCAAAGTCGTACCTCCTTACGCGTAGGGCGAATGCGTAAAATCGCGGACTGGGTGATCATTATTTGCTGGACTACGAATGTATGATGGCGGAACGACCTGCCCAAATGATCTAGGTGGCCTGGCGGTAGATTCCAAGAAGGATAAATATTCACGTGTCCTAACTCTCTCTCTATCCCTAACCCTAACCCCAGCCTCAAACCGAACCCTGCTTTTCCTGGGAATTAACAAAAAGCCATCCGTACTACGAGTGATTCCTTTTCCAATATCATACCGAGAGAGGGGGAGGGAGAACAATAAATAGGGCCAGCCACGTCTTCTTCTTTTGGTATGAGACATGTGGCCTTTGTTCTGTTGCCGATTAAGGCAGCTCCACGACGCATGTGGTTGACGCATACCTAATTTAACACTGTTCGTTTACTGCCTCTGGACAGACTAATGCAATGACCAAAAAATTCAGAAACGTACATATCCCCAATTGGTGTAAGGTTTACTCTTATGAAACAACAACACTACCTATAAACATGTGCATCCAATCTCACCGTCATAGGTCTTGGCAGATGCATGTATGACATCCAGCAAGCTTTCTATAAGAGTCTCTTGCCGAAATCACACTGCGATCTCTTTGCTGAATCTATAAATAGTCATTTTATACTAGTTTCTCCCAGTACATCCGAAAAGTGTACCAGTCTAGCATATTCACACTCGGGAGATTGACTTGAATCAGAAATGCCGTTGTGTACACTTGACGCTGCATGATCCTGGGATCGCACATGTTTGGTCATGTTCAGGAAAGCAGCCGGCAAACCCACAGACGTTTTCAATAAATTTTAATCGATCAGTGACCGCACGTAGTAAGGTAGGAAACGTGTGACAAATTAGACCGAAATTAGTTAATTATTGGGGTTCGGGTTAGTGTGAAGAAAATGGGAGGGGACAGGTGGGGTAGGCGGGGATGGGAGATGGAGGGTAATGTGTCTCAACGTAGGTTACGAACCGTTAGTCGACATCAGCGAGCATGCGGGCGTTCGTATAATTGACTTTTGTTCCTAGTAATCGTGACTCTGAACTATTTTGTCCAATGGGCATGGAGACGATTCGGCTAGCCTAACTGTATAACGTTTACTCTAGCGGGTGCACCCCAATTGTCATAACCAGGACCATTCCCTCTTGAGCTGTAGGAAAATAACGCTGGTGTTATTCGCTTTATTCTGTACAGAATCCCGAGTTAATACCGTACAAGATTGTACGCACTGCCAAGACGGGCGTTGAGGTGTTAGCAGGAAAATGCTTGAGTGGGAGAGTCTGTCTGGGTAATTCGTGTCCTTTCATCTGTGGGCAACGATATAGAGAAGGATCCCACTTAACTGCCAGTAGTCTGCGGATCGTGCCATTGTAGCGAGCGTCAAAGACAGAACCGTCAATCCCAGACTATAAAAATCAGGATAAGACCAGAGTTATGGAAGAATTAATAATCAAAAGTCAAACGACCTGACAATCCCTCTCATGCCAAGCGCGTCGCGTCGAGTTGTGTTCATTCCATTCAGTTAAACAACCAGTAAGTTCAAGAATGAGGAACAGGTAGGGAAAGGCAAGATAGTCTGGCGCCTCGGCACAGTACCCCCCTCCGAGACCGGAGGCCGGCGAAAACGACGCCGAAGGATGTGTACAGGTCTAAAAGAAATGCGTGACCAACCGATCAGGAAAGTGTACATGACGACCACTACGAGTGATATATACAGGGTCCGTAGAAGAGTGAATAAATCTGGTGGCGGATGTGTTAGAGTTGGTGGTGGCAGTCGGAGATGGCGGACAGGAGGGCAGAGGGAAAATACGGGACGGTGGAATAGAGGCTCCGTGGGGGGAAGCAGAAGGTTGAGGACCACAGGGCTCATCCGGAGGAGTGTAAGGGACGGCAGCCTTGAGGCGGTCCACACTCACGACCTCTTCACGATTGTCGCGCTGAATGCGGAAAGTCTTCGGCCCGCGAGAGAGCACGTTGCCAAGTCCTTCTCGAGATAAGACGGAGAGGCGGAGGACCTGGGAGGAACCGGAGAAAGTGTCCGCATAAACTGCCGGAGACGATGCAGGAGGTTTGTAGGATCCTCAACTGCACCTTGAGGGGTTGGCGAGATCATCTCACCGGGGAGTCGGACGGTGGAGCCGAACACCAGTTCAGCTGCGGAACAGTCAAGGTCCGGCTTGAGAGCGGAGCGGATGCCCAAGAGGACCAGGGGAAGGTGATCCGTCCAGTTCTCCGGATCGGCTGCGGCGCGTAGGGAGGCCTTCAGCTGGCGGTGAAACCGCTCGACCATCCCGTTAGCAGCCGGGTGATAGGCTGTCGTCCGGATGCGGGTACAGCCTAAAAAGGAGAGTAAAGACTGGAAGAGATTAGATTCAAATTGTGCACCACGGTCAGTCGTGATTGTGGAGGGTGTACCAAAGATAGCAACCCAACGACTGAGAAAAGCCTTGACCACCGTTGGAGCAGCAATGTCAGGCAGGGGAATTGCTTCAGGCCACCGAGTGAACCGATCCACACAGGTGAGGAGATAGGAACAACCATTGGACAGAGGCAGGGGGCCTACAATGTCCAGGTGAACGTGGCTGAACCTTGCACCAGGGCCGGGGAAGGTACCAATGGGGGCCTTGTTGTGCCGCTGGATCTTGCTCCGTTGACAGGCAATGCAAGCCCGTGTCCATGCCTTCAGGTCCTTGTGCATACCAGGCCAGACGAAGCGGTCGGAAACCAGCTTGTCGGTTGCTCGACTCCCAGGGTGAGAGAGATTGTGCAGGGAGGAGAAAACTTTACGGCGGAGGGATGGCGGCACAAATGGACGATGGGAAGGGGTGGATACGTCGCATAAAATGGTGCCGTTGCCAGTCGTCAGTGGTAGTTCCTGGAGTTGGAGTCCGGAAACATCCTCATCACAGGGTGGACCGACACGGCGTTGTTCAGCGGCCATCTCAGCGAGGTCTATCCCGGGTGA